TGCCCAAACTAAAACACAATACCAAACTTATTTTCAGTGTTGGCACTTTGAGATAAATTGATTTTGCATTGCAGTTTGGGCACTCAGGCTCAAAAACTTTAAGGCCGTGACACACTGCACGCGAAGCAGCGCGGAGCGGGGGCACGCTGCCTTTGCGAGCAGTGTGTCATGTAATTTTCTGCTCGGCAGCTCAGCTTGCGAGAGCTCGCGGAGCTGAGCGCGCCGAGATGAACAATTTCAACTTCAGCCAATCGGCTCGCGCGTATAAACCAGCGCGTCGCGATGCGACAGTTGGCAGGTTGTTACGGACGAGCCGATTGGCTGAAGGTGCTGTCAATCATCTGACTGCACTCAGCTCACACACTGCACGCAAAGCTCCGTGCCGGATAGCTTTGCTTCGCTCTGCACGGCTTTGCGTGCAGTGTGTCACGGCCTTTAGCCATCACTGTTCTAGCGTGACAATACTCCTTTACATTTTCAGTTCGGTGCATCGGAAGTCACGAGGACAGTACATTTCTTACTGGATCAATAGGTATATTTCTGTGCATGCAGAAAATGTACTCAGCCTAATAAACAAGCCAACTAACACAATCACCACATCTAAGAGCTGCTTCATATAATAAATGTTTGTTGTTGGATTAAGTATGACTAGTGGGCTACATATGTTTTCTGTGTCTTACCTCCCGGATTTTGGGTGGGTATCTTCCAAGTACTTTACTATCATCTTACATTTAAACAGCATATTGACAGGGAGACCAGACTGACCATTAGATTGGTATAAATAATTGTATGATTATATTAGGCACAGCAAGTAAGAACTTTTTTAAACAATTGCTTAGCTGTAATAAAATAATACATTAGCTATTTTAATATATTTAGAGACACCAACCAAAAGTGCAAATATAACCTCTAAACTGTCTTTTTTCCCTCTGTGCTTTGAGAATTGTCATCGCAGTGTAAACATTGTATTCTTTACATTCAACCTCTCTGGGTCTTTACCCATTTGTTTCAATGTTTTCAAAGAGCAGAAGTCATTGATTATGATCTCTTTACAGCTCTGCACTTATGTAACCACCGGAAATCTCAAACTGCTGAAAGAAAGTAGCCTCTTTATAAGTTTAGCCACAGGGTTGATGGGATATGCCTTCAGAACAGCACTGAGAATAAAGGTGGCATTGGGGTTCTCTCAAATATACTTTCCATAATAGTGTGAAATCAGTTCACATGTAGAAGCAAAAGTGTTTTATGATGCACAGATCCTTCCTTTCTGGAAGCCAACCCCTGGTTAGATTGTAATAAAAAAAGAGGACAGAGAAAGATGGGTTTTTTTGCTGGCTCCAGAAAGAACAAGTCCAATAAACTTCAGTCTCATAGGTATATAAAAGATATACATTTATTGAACAAATATATGGTTCTTTAAAAAGCATTAGGTATGCATGAAAATATAAAAAGACATATACCTCAGGAGGAAATTACCTCCTATCACCCCCTATACATGCGTTGAGCCTACAAGCATTGCTCCTCTAGCATTGCAAGCAATTTATCACCCCCATAAGCATTGCTCTTTCCACCCGAGGTTCACTACTATAATCAATCAATACCTGTTTTTTATAAGTTGCCTATGATGTTATATTTCACATGTACAGATTCATGATCATCTAATGAGACATTAATGAATGACTGTTAAATGCTGAGAATCAGCAAATACCGGCATTACAAAGCCTGATATAACTCGTCACGTACAGTGTATGTGGCCAGTCATATAGGCACAAAGTGACAAGACGTACACTGTACGTCTCCCGTCACGAAGGGGTTAAAGAACCATATATTTGTTCAATACATTTATATCTTTTATATACTTATGAGACTGAAGTTTATTGGACTTGTTCTTTCTGGAGCCAGCAAAAAAACCCCATCTTTCTCTGTCCTCTTTTTTTATTTCAGTTCACATGTAATTGAGTAATGGGCAGGACTTAGCTAATCTTATATAGGGGGATGCATATAAAAGAAGCTGAAGAGTGATGTTTACATTGACATGGACCTGTGATGGCTGTTCTCAAAGCAATGAGGAAAAAGAGCAGTGGTATTAGGTATGTGTTGACAATGCTTCTCTGAATTTATTAATGTAGCAAAACAGTTATTTATGTCAGTGATGTATACATGCATACAGGGAAACTAAAATGGGATACAACTTCTGACATCCCTTTATTCCTGTTTGCGACCTAATTGTAGAGATTCCCCTGTACAAGACAGGAAGAGTGGTATATATTCTTAAAGTGAACTCTCTGAGGTTAGAACTCAGAGGTTTATAGTAGACATGTGCGATTTATTTCGTTCCGAATCGAAATTCGGACAAAATTTCAGAAATTCGTGGATTCGGAGCATCCAAATTTTCCGAAATTTACCATGGCCGAATTCATCCGAAAGCATCCGAATACGAAATTCCGAATTCGGAATTTCGTCCTAACAGAAACTAAATTAGAAATTTAAGATAAGTACTTAAAAAACAGGATTTCATAGCATGTGAAGATAAAAACAAAACGTGCATACGAACATTCGTCCGTTTGCGCAAAACCACAAATTACGGAAATTCGTCCGCATTACTAATCCGAATTACTAATCCGATCCGAATTATGAATCCGAATCCCAAAACAAAACACATACAGGACCCAATTTCGGAAATACGAAATAAACAAAATCAGAAAATAAATGAAACAAATTTTTTGTGGCTGCACATGTCTAGTTGATAGCTTTTAAATTCAATCTTTTTTATTGAACAGATTTTTTCAAGAAAATAACATAACACAGTCATTATAGAGATCTTGCTGTCGAAGGTTACATGTTGCATAAGGTATAAATATACAATTACAGTACGAGCATACGCGCTCCCATGCTGAACACACATCTCCAATGACATCTACATATTTTATATATAACGAGATGGGGAATGGTAACAAGGAGAGGAACAAACAAGAAGGGAAGACAAAGGTAGAAAAAGGTAGGGGGAGCCAAGCAATCGAGACCTGCATCATCTCATTGTTACCACATGGAGGTTTAAAATGCCATCAACCTAGCCAGGACGACCAGGCAGTATAGAATCGTTTCGTGGAACCATCTTGGTACGACATAACCCTCTCGTATTGGCAATGCAGATTAACTATGGCTACAGTTTCAGATAGTTTCAGGTGCATTTAAGCTTTTCCAGTGGCGCACTACGGTCAACCTTGCCGCTAGCAAAATGTGAGAGATTAGAATCCTAAATTGAGGTGGGAGGTTTTCGATGCCCAGCGAAAGGATCGCAAACTCGGGTGATGGCTGCACTATACATCCCGTGGTTTGTGATATCTTCTGGAATACCTGGCGCCAGAAACTCCTCAAACATCTACAGTCCCACCGGATGTGGTGCAAGCTCCCTATTCGTCCACACTGTCTCCAGCAATCTGTGGTGACGGATGGATACATTCTACTAAGTTTGAGAGGCGTAAAGTACCACTGTAGGGCAATTTTGTGCCCCAGGGTCCATAGGTCCACGCATTTAGTGGCCCTATGAGTGTATGCAAAGGCTGTAGTCCATTGTTGGGGTGAGAAAGAGGACTGTTGTTCCTTTTCCCATTGTTTTATCGGGCCGGATTTGGTGAATACTCATTTATTATTTAGAGCTCCATAGAACAGAGATATCCCTCCAGTTTGTGTGGGACTGGAGAAGTAGAACTTCTCGGCTAAGCTTGGGATTCTACATTCTGTCAGAGATGTAGATCGCAGAAGGTGAGCTAGTTGGTGGTATAAGAGCAGGTCCCCTGCCGGTACACCATATTCTTTGCGCAAGGTAGGAAAGGGTTTTAAGCATTCCCCCACGTATAAGTCCCTGACCATTGTCATGCCCCATTCCACCCTTAAAGCGGGCCTTATTAAAGGAGTATTGTTTGTCAAACTGTTCCAACAGTAGGAGGCGGAGGTCCTGTCTAAGTTTTGTCAAAGTGGTCCCGTCAGATATAGTCGGGTTGGCATGTCAGGTAGCATCGCAGGTCAAATTCAATCAGGGGCTTTCGTCGCCTGGGACCCCCTCTTGCGGGTAGAGGTATTAGCTCTAGGCAGAAGCGTCCATGCAGCGCGCCAGCAAGCCACGCCCCCTAGTTGATAGCTTTTATGTCACATTGCCAGAATAGAAAGTGAGAGGATACCTCCATCGTGAAGGTACAACAGCAGTAACAACATTTTGTATTTAGTAGACAGGTATCTCTCAGGGTTTTGGTATGGTCTTTGTCCCTGTTGTGGACATTTTCTTCACTTCCTTATTGCCAAGACAATACACACCTGACAAAGGTTCTGTACTTTCTCTAACACTAAACTAACAATTTTAAAAAAATCCACTTTAACATGAATGGACACCTTCATTCCATCAATATTGACTGGAAGGACATTAGGAATCTTGTAGATAATGTGAGTGTCCAGCATGGTAGGCGTTGACATCAAAAGATGCAGGTGAGTCCTTTCTATATTAAGGGGTACAGGTAGGGATGCCACCTGTCCAGGATTCACCCGGACAGTTCGGGTTTTGAATGCTCTGTCCGGGTTTTCATGGCAGCAGAAACCCGGACACAAGATGTCAGGCAGACAGGGGCTACCAAAATGAAGATAGGGGCTACTGGCCCCCCACTGAAAATAGTCTCAGCTGTGATATTTACATATGAATAAACCACGACTCATTCTCCCAAGAAAAAAAGGGTCTTGCGTCGCTAGAGTGTTCGGGTTTCAATTGAACAAAAGGTGGCAACCCTAGGTACAGGTGAGTGCTTTCTAGTCCTTTATGGGCCCCTTATCGTCAACACCTTTGGAGCTGCATATTATAATGTGATTTAGAAACTGTCTATTATTAAAACAACATATCAGCTATGAATAAACATTGATATAAGCTTTCAAAATTAAAACATGAGAGAATTTGTATAAAATTTGAAATACTGTAAGTATAGTATATCTTTGCTGTGTTTCTTTTCTTGTAGTTTTGGCGCTATGGAGACTGGATAGATGTAATCATTGATGACTGCTTGCCGACCTTTAACAATCAGCTAGTATTTACCAAGTCTTCTCAGCGGAATGAGTTCTGGAGTGCACTGTTGGAAAAAGCTTATGCAAAGTGGGTACCTTAAATTATGACTCTTTTTCAGTTAAATTATAGTTCACATAGGAATGCTATAAATCATACAAGGGGGAAAAAAATAAAATAATAAAAAATAGATCATGAAAATAGCACATATCTGATGTTCAGCGCATGTGGGGGAGAACTCTCCATAGCCTTATTTCTGTTCTTCTGTTCAGGAGTATATGTAAAAAAGGTAAAATGATTGAAAATGTACTTTAAAATAGGTTTTACTAAATGCTACATACTAATTTCTTATTTACAGTATCTCAAGTCACACACAAACAGCTGAATGACCCTGAGGAGGAATATGCTCCTCCTCTCCTGTAGACATGGCACTCGCTAGATCTCCAGTCTGCTGGAGAAGTACAGAACTAGCACTAGACTCTCTTATTAGGCAGCTTAGCATGCTTTGCACACACTGTAGCATGAAAGTACCAAGTATTATATATTCTTATACAATAAAAATATAAATAATTATAGCTTCCCATTAAAGGTTGATGATAATTTTGGGTAGATATATATAGTATTTTTAGTGTTACATTTTTCATCTTTTTCTCGCTTTCTTCTTCTCTCTCTCCTCCCTCTCCCTTGCTTCCTCTCTCTATATGTTTGTTTAACAAAAAAACTAAAATCTACTACATGACAAAGATTCCCAGCGCACTATCGGTTAGCTTAAAAAAAACTATGCAGCAAAATTAAATCCCTTTCAAACACAAATCTCTCTCACTGATACCTCATACTGAGACCTTTGATAAGGGGTTAGTTGTAGCTCGGACTCATTCAGTAGATTTTACCTTGATATATTGATTGCCATAATCGCTAAAAGAAAATAAATACAAAACCACTATACAGGTGAAACTCGAATAATTAGAATATCGTGCAAAAGTTCATTTCTTTCACTAATGCAACTTAACAGGTGAAACTAATATATGAGATAGACTCATTACATGCAAAGCAAGATAGTTCAAGCCGTGATTTGTCATAATTGTGATGATTATGGCTAACAGCTCATGAAAACACCAAATCCACAAACTCCTCGGCTTGAACTATCTTGCTTTGCATGTAATGAGTTTATCTCATATATTAGTTTCACCTTTTAAGTTGCATTAGTGAAATAAATGAACTTTTGCACGATATTCTAATTATTTGAGTTTCACCTGTACATGTTCTTTACATTCAAATGTAACCAAAGAACCTGTCATATTGTTTCAGGTGCACTAAGAATCTGTATCAATTTCCACCATTTGTCTATCCATTTTCATTCTTTCTCTACCCTCTGCAGGAAATTCTCTCTTTCAATCTTTTACTCTAGACAGTATTTCTCTCTCTAATATGATCATCCCATTTGCTTTTTCTTTCTAATGCTACCAGTCATAGTAAGTTTATACTGTTTTGCTGAGTGGTCTTCAGAACTCAGATTCATGACTAAATGCATTGGGGGGAATTTATCAAAATGGGAGCAAACCGAATCTAGAGAAATTGCCCATGGCAACTAATCAACATCTCTCTTCAGTTTGCTCACATAAGATTTGAAAATGAAAGAGAGAAGTTGATTGACTGCAGTACAAATCTGCTCCAGATTTTGTCTTCTCCAGTTTTGATACATTCCCCCCATTGTATTTTATTATAACTACACCAATGTCAGTATATGTTTACTTATTCATACTTTTAGTACAGTGTGTCTTTTTTAGGTTACATGGATCTTACGAGGCACTTAAAGGTGGAAATACTACAGAAGCCATGGAGGACTTCACTGGTGGAGTTACAGAGTTTTATGAAATAAAGGATGCACCAAAAGACTTGTTCAAAATCATGAGAAATGCTTTTGAAAGGGGCTCACTCATTGGATGCTCAATCGATGTAAGTGTAAGGACATCTTTTCTGAATTTGTGGAGAATGTTCATAGTTATGACAGACAGCAGTAATGTAAGCTCAAAAGTGGAAAAGTAAATATGCATCATCATATGAAGTTGCTGAGTTTCCTTTGCAAACGCTACTTGCTTGGCTGCTCATTTTTAAGATGTTGTAAGATGAGTCAGAAACCCAGAACAAACATAGTGTAAACTAGTATAAAAAAAGTGTTAGTATTCCCTATCTCTATACTTGTTTCAGGTCAGTGATTCAGAAAGCATTGAAGCCAAAACAAACCATTTAGCACATATTCTTAACACATAAGCCATTTTGCCAGTTGGTAGATTTGACAGATTACCAGTCAAGGCCTTACCACCTAAAACCAGCTGTGCAAAATTGCCTAAGGAGGAAGATGAACCTGAGCTCATGCAACAGGCTTGTTGGTCAAGGTGACATTATAAAATGGTCTATAGCATGACTTCATGGGCCTTCCTGAACACACTGATTGCAGTGGAAGGCGTGCTGGTTTGACCTAGAAGACAAATAGAGCTTAGTGGTCCTTACTCAGTAAATTCCAGCTCCATAAACCAACCAACAGAATTATGAGAAAAAATACAGAGGTAGAAGTCATGGTGGATTTAGCAGTCTTTTCCACCTCAAATCCATAAAGTCGTACATTAGGGTTTCTATGGTGCATTGCATTTGTGTAATCATTAGAGATCACAAACTCCTGAAAGAAGATATTTGTTCATGTAAACAAATTCAAAATTGTACATATGTCAGACAACATGTAACGTCTGGCTATATGATGTAGAAAACAATAGTGCAAATTTCTAAAAATAAATCACTCTCTCTGCTTTTAAACTGCCTACCTGCATCTCCATTGTACCACAGCCCTCTAAAAAACAATACATGCTGCTTTCCATATGCCACAATACAGTGCTTGGTGTTTAAAGAGACTGTCACCTTACCCTTGTAGGGCAAAGTGACCCGAAAGTGTTTCTGCAAAGGGCCCCACCAAACCCCGTATGTTTAACCTGCCTGCGCTCCCTTACTGCTCCTTCTTCCAGCATAGAAGGCGACACTATCAACCTAGTGCAGACAAGGTAACAATAAAAGGATTGTAAAGGGAGGAGACCTTGGCAGAGACGCTGTCAATGTGCTCTGCATGGGCAAGGTGACAGTGTCTCTTTAAGCAGCCTATTACCAGGTCCATGCACTGTCACCTTGGGTGGGGTGGTGTTTAACCCTGTCCATAGGCATGCACAACCTATTGTAGTATCTATCTAGATAGATGTGTGAAAAAGTGTTGGCCCCCTTCCTAAATTTTTCATTGTTTTGCATGTTTTTCACACTTTAATGTTTCAGATCATTAAACAAATTTAAACTACACAGGGCCATGTGGTTTTGGATTTTGTTTTCCCTTAATAATAAAAACCTTCCTTTAAAAACTGCATGTTGTGTTTACTTGTGTTATTTTTGACTAATATTTAAATTAGTTTGATGATCTGAAATATTAAAGTGTGACAAACGTGCAAAACAATGACAAATCAGGAAGGGGGCCATTACTTTTTCACACAACTGTATATTACATAAATACATACACAGAGGCAGCTCGGATTCCCATCTCTTCAACTGTCCCTACCTCTTCCAGAAGGGGTACAGTAATGAAGGATGGGTAGCCTGGGAAGCCACAGCCAGGCTCCATCGCAGCTTCCCAGGCACCAAGGACTGTGGCTGTTATGAGAAGAATATAAGTGGCAAGTGCTGCTGCGCTCTGAATCACTGAGCGGGTGATAGAGAGATCTTTCTGATCTCTCCACCGGCTCAGTGACTAAATACATGGCGCCCGCTCTTGCGGTATTGGTGCTGCACTCGGGATGAATAGGGTATGCCCAGGCACACCCCGCACACCCTGTGTGCACACCTATGACCCTGTCCAACATATTGACATAAAAAAAGTTGGTATCTGAATGGAATTTCAAATGGTCTGCCCAATAAACTATCTGTGCTGTTAATTTTTTTCAGAGATTATAGTTTTGCTGTAAACGGGATTTCTTTGAAACAATAAATGCAGTTCAAAAGTAACTACTGATAAAAGATATTTACAGGGCACATGCTTTGGGGCTAATAATATTAAATCAGCAATTACAGGAATTAGTAAAGGGTATTATTTCTCTTTATCATAGCTTGACACCTAACAAGGTAAATACTGTGTAAAAATGCACAAAGATAAGCTGCACAATTTTTAGCCATTAAACATTTTACTGTTATACCCTCTACTATAAATATGTGAAGCTGCTACCACAAGTACTGTTCTGTGCTTGTTTGCTATGCTATATTTAAAAGCATTCATCTTGGGTTCCCTCTGATTATCCATGAATACTGATGGTAACATGAGAAGTGAAACATATCTGCTACCATTATAACTGCGCTATTTTGTGTTACCCACAAATCCATATTAGTTCGAGGCAAAAGAGTTCTCTTGAGACCACCAATTAAAGTGGTAAAAAAATTACTGCATAATGCCACCAGCTGTCTATAAGGTAGAGCATTCTGGGAGATTTTATTTTTAGTTTTGTAATTAAGGGCGACAGCTGTGTATGACTCCTGCTCCATTAAATCTTTCCACACTTCCAGTGTTTTATGGTACAGCTTCCATATATACCAAGGCTCCAAAACATATACAGTATATGCATAGAGTAATGTATCTATAAAAACATAAATATGTAAACATATTAGCCTTGAAGAAAGTACATTTACAATTGTTTTGACCTGTAGGATGTGAATTTTATATTGCTGTTATTCTTTGTAGCTATCAACATTTTGTAAGACCTCACAATGTAGACTGGATATTCATTATTGCTATTATGGGCAGACACTTAGGACCCGTTCACATATAGCGAATTGTCGCGCGATTTCCGCCGCGATATCGCGCATTTTTGCCGCGCGATATCGCGAGAAGTCGCCGGCCAATGTTATTCAATGGAGCTGTCTTAACTCCATGTCGCGCGTCGCTCGTCGCTCGTCGCGGTCGCAAGTCGCTTCTACCGGACCCTTTTTTCGGCGGATTTTGCGCGATTTTACTTTTTTCCTATGGAGCCCGACGGGGAAGGTCGCGCTACCGTCGCTGGATCGTCGCTGGAACGTCGCCCCGAAAGTCGCGCTATCCCGGCCGTGCGGATCCGCTGCAAAAGGTATGTCGCTATATGTGAACGGGGCCTTAGGGTGTATATGTAAACAATTTGCAGAGCCATTCGTCCTGTGAAATTGCATGTATATTTGTTCTGTACTAATCAAGGCAAAATATATTTTCTTTCCAAATTGAATGTACTTTCAGGTAAATGCTGCATTATGCCCACTAGGTGGCGCATAGGAAATATGTATTTATTTGCCCTGTTCTTCCACTCCATCTAGTTCCCATTATGCGGCATTTACCTGAAACTACATTCGATCTTGAAAGAAAATATTTAATAGCATTAAATTTTGGCTCAATTAGCACAGAATGAATATATATGCAATTTGGCAAGGCAATTGACACTACAAATTGTTCATAAATACACCGATTAAAGTACATGTAATTTCTAAATGAATGAAATTTAGTGGTATTAAGGTGCCCATACACTGTACGATTCTCGTACGAGAATCGCGGGAAATCCCGCGATCGTACGAGAATCGTGCAGTGTATGGAAGGCGTGCGACCGTTTCTACTGTACGGTCGCACGTCTTCCATCGAACAAGCAGGCTGGAAAACCCACCGGGAATCGTACGATTCTCGGCGAGTGAGTGGCCTGCTTGTTCGACAACTGACGAACGCTGCCCGTTTGCCGTCCTTGCAAGCCCGCCCCTCATTGCAGTCATCGCAAGCCCGCCCCTCAAGGGGGTGGGCTTGCGATGATCGCAAGTACGATCTGCCTGTCCAAGATGGGCAGATCGTACGTTTTTTTAAGTACTTTACAACCATCGCAAGACTAAGGTCTTGCGATGGTTGTAAAGTGTATGGCCACCTTAAAGCAGTGAATGTGACATTTACCAAACATTCACTGCAGGTGTCTCTTCATGGTGCATGTGTTTTAAATTACAATTGTTAACATGGTTAAGATCACATGAACTGCTTTATAAATATGCCCATTAGTTTGCTTCTTTAACTTTTTCATTGTTGGTTGGATATCAGCCCAGCTGATCTTTTTACAGCCATTTCCTGCCTATATGCATACTTTATGCTGAGGCAACTTCTGCACACCATTTCCCACGGCGCATTTTCTGATGGTCACAACAGTGCACTTTGCCTGTGTACAGAGGCGGCTCTTTAATTAGGCAAATTAGGCGGTCGCCTTAGGCCTCGCGCTCCCGAGGGCCTCGCGGCCGCCTAGTTTGCCCTGTCAGAACGGCACATCACCTCGCTCGCAGCCAGGTAACGTTGTGAGCTCTCAGCCCTGTCGCTGTCAAACTGACAGGGCTGAGAGCTCATCCGTTTCCTCGATCATCGGTGCGGTCCATCCACTGTCTTCTGGAGCTCCGCCCACCAGCCAATGAGAAGAGACCTCACTCCTCCCATCCACCGCACGAGGATCTCTGGCTGGGAGGGCGGAGCTTATCTTTAGCAGCAGATGGAGACGTCGGCGGCGCCGGCTGGTCCTGCACGCTCCTGCCAGCTCCCGCCTCAGAGCTGGTAAGTGGCGACCTGGAGAGCCCTAAAGAGAATTCTGAGAAGAGCCCTGTGTAATGCAGATGGGAGCCCTGTGGAGAACCCTGTGTAGTGCAGGTGATAGCCCTGAGGAGAGCCCTGTGCAGAGCGCTGTGGAGAGCATGTGAGAGCCCTGGTTTTCTATTGCTGGGATTTGTTGTATTCCTCTATAGCTGGTGGTATTCTGGCTGGTCAGACCCCACATAGTCATGGTTAGACCCCACAGAGCCCTGGTGCTGGTGAGACCACACATCGCCCTGGTGAGACCCCACAGAGCCCTGGTTTAATCAAGGCTCTGTAGGGTCTCACCAGGGCTCTCTGGGGTCTAACCAGCTTTGTTAGACCCACAGAGCCCTGATGGGACCCCAGACTGCCCTGCTACCCTGGGGAGAGACCCTCACAGAGCCCTGGGTCAGGGCTTAATTCCCTGGTTTAACCAGGGCTCTGTAGGGTCTCACCAGGGCTCTGTTGGGTCTCACCATCCTGGTTAAACCCGACAGCCCGGTGAGACCCCACAGGCCTGAGTGGGGCCTCATGTTTAGGTTTCGCCTAAGGCCTCGCAAACTCTAGAGCCGCCTCTGCCTGTGTATGAGTAATCTCCATCAGGGGAGTGTGTGATAGGATGACAACGGACAAAAAAGAAAGAGACAGAATGTTCCCTCCCTAAAACAGGAAGTGCCTAAACAAGGACCTTCCTGGCAGAATCACCAAGTATTCTTTTAATGAAAGCTGAAGATTTAAAGATATTAGAAATTACTTTTGAAATAACATGAACATGCCAAGCTTATATGAACCCTTAGTGATTGGGTTTACATTTGCTTTAAGCCCCATACATTGCTAGATAAAATAAGGAAAATTTAAATGCACTTAAATTTAACCTGTTCTTTGCCCATACAAAGGACTGTAAGTATTTTGTACTTACCTCCGCTACCTTTTGCTACCCCATTCTGCTACCAGACCGGTAAATGTTACTAGCTTACACAGATCTATACATGTTCTACACACCCACATGTGACTGCACTTGGGCCTTGTGATTGGCTGCTCAAGAAAT